CTTTGTCCTTCGGGTCATTTATTCGACCTTCATCAACACAAAAAAATTAACAAACATATAAATAAATAATTTAGCAATATAAATACATATCATAAATTAAGTTCTATTGGGATGCGTTCTTCGAAGTTTTCTTCGGTAACAGTTGGGGTTGAATTGATGGAAGCACTCCAGCCTGAGAAATGGTTACCTTGGACAGCATTTTGTTTAGTTCGTCGTCGTTACGTATAGCGAAGAGTATGTGACGTGGTATAAGTCTGCTCTTATTATTCTCTCTTGCTGCATCCGCTGCCAGTTCCAAAATCTCGGCACAAAGATATTCCAGGGCTGCGGCGAGGTACACCGGAGCGCCGCTCCCTATTCTCTTGGCGTAGTTCCCATTCTTTAATATCTTGTGAATCCTTCCAACTGGAAACTGAAGGCCGGCACGAGAAGAACGCGATCTAACCTTCTTTCTTACTTTCGTAGACATTATTTTTGATTTATTTACTTCAGAATAATTTTACAGATTTGTTTACATCAAGGTACGAGATTAAACCCTACTGATATTTATATTTTGAGTTGTTGACTTTGTGGGTATTGCGTGAATTGTTATTATCTATGTGTGCGTACGTTGTATATCTAGTAAAGGATACTCCTATATGTACTATTAGCGGGCCATTTTAAAATAATTGGTTTCTCGGGAATCCCTCTAAAGATTTGGATAAAATTATGTTTTAAAATTTACAATCATGTTCTACTTTCCATGTTTATCTTGATAGTAGATAGGTGATATCCCGGAAATATATATATATATATATACGTTTATTTTATACAGGTGTCCTGAAACAACGTAAAGCGGGTGCCAGGCGATAGATTTTATTAAACTAGTTCTGGCAAAAAAAAGAAAAGCCTTGTGACTTGGTTAAGTGATAATAAAAATATTTTTGAAAGTGATGAAAATTAACATCCTTAGACCGATGACATTTTTATATAGGTATGTACCTATATATCATTGCCGTATCTTTATGTAGGTGATCACAATTTCCTATTTACAGTGTCCTTTTAAAATTGTTCCGAATTGATTCAATCTTGACTTGATGGCAGTCATAAATCCAACATTGTTATTTTGTAAAAAAATTTTGATTGAGATAGGCTTAACATAAATAATAGACATTTCATCTTTAAAAAGAATATTATACTACCCTGGGCAAGTTATTTAAAAAATGACCTATTTAATTAAGAGTATAAAATGGTACAGCACTTGCTACTTCTCTATCCATAAAAAAAATATAAATATTATCAACCGTTTTCGAGGATATAAAATCGGAATTTTTTTATATACATCTACATTTAGAAAGAAATATGTCACTGGGCCTCTCATTACAACAGGATATTTTGTTCATGAAGAAAAACAAGAAGAATAATATTATTAACGATTACTGATTATTATTATAGAAATGATAGAAAATAATGTTTTAAACCACTTTTGTTTACAAATAATATAGAAGTACCCTCCATAGTAAATATGTTTTGATAAGTAGATTAAAATTATCCATCTCGATCTATAATAAAATTCTTTCATATATAAATAATAAGTCAAGGTCATTATCAATTTCTAATGTTTTTGTCAATGATAAAGGTGCCATATAAAATATAATGCGGGCTTTACCAACGACCGGTGCACGGGCAGGGCTTGCCAACCTTCGGCTTATTAAACCACAGCAAACAAAGCGTATAGACGTGTAATTGGTGGTAATTTGTAGAGTTACAAATATATCGATCATGAAAGTCTGCCTCTTTATTTCCATAGCTATTTCGCGTTAACATAATAGTTATTGTTAGATTTTATTAAGTTATTTATAGTTATTAAAGCGTATAGTACCAATTTAAAATCTACTTAATGTACATGTGCTTACACTATGATATTGATACCCCTTTATTGTTCCTTTACAGCCTATTAAAGTCCACTGCTGAACATACCCTTATTTTGTCTCATAGGAGGGATATTTTCTATAGCTGCCACGCTTGGCAAGCGGGTTGGCAACCGCTGTTTTAATTTTTAGTCGTTATTAGAAAGACGTTGCGACACATCTCCTGATTTGTTTCCCTCTGTCGCCTCTGACTATACTCACAGGATGATATAGGATAGTGGCTATTCTTATACCACCATTGCACGATAATTTGATGGATTGGAAAATCGGCCCTCGGTAATATTACTTTTATAGTTGGATCTTGAAAAATTGACTGTAGCTCTTTGTGTGTCGATAGCAAATCATACGTGTATGATGTGTAACTATGCAAGTATGTAATGCAGTGCAATGCAAGATTAAACGCTGCTGAGGAGTACCACTCAAATACTGAGGTTTTAGGATGCAAAATAAAACACTGTTTATCGGAACGCCTTGCTAATGATACTGAATTTATTATAAAACAATATGTGTACAATGCATTGAAATGACGTCAAATACGAGCACGCGCTCCAATTACGATAACATATAAAAATGGACGGGTTTACCCGTACAAAATGTAACAAAGCTTTTTCACCAATAGCAGTGCTTGAAATGCTTTGTTCTGTTCTGAACGGTATATAGAGCCAGTTTAATTGTAGACTGCGAGACATTTCGTCTTTCATCTCAGACTTAGAAGTGGCGAGGAACCTGTAGCCTTCTTTGTAGCAGCAGTTACTTAGATGGACTGTAAGTCCTTCGTAGGCCATTGCTGTTTGAAGAAAATATATTTGATGAATTAGCCAAGCTGCGAGTAAGAATACTGTACAAAATTCGCCGAACATAAATGAAGGTCGCCAATCTGATTTTGATGATGATGATGCAATTATAGAAAATCCTACCTACAACGGGAGAGATCCACAGCCAGCCTTTACGGGACTTTACGGATTGATAAAGTAATAAAAAGATAAGAGATAAAACAAGCTTGCTATCGCTTCATTACAATCTGTATTTAAAACAATTAATCCTTCCCTAAAATAATTTAACCGACTTCTAAAAGGAGGAGGTAGATTCTCAATTCGACTGTTTTTAAAATAAAAATTATGTGTGTTACCTCAGAACTTTTATCTAGTTGAACCGATCTTGATGGTTCTTTTTTTAAAGCTGGTGCTTCTCATGTGGCCCCTTATAAATTTGATCAAGATCTGAGCATTAGTTTTTGAGTTATCCTTAATAATGCGTATTTAATTGACTCATTTTATTTATATTGAAGTCGGCTGTACAAAATTTTTAATGTTGTCACTTATATATAACTAAATTACTACTAGTCAAAATTAAAATTAATGCTGAAAAATTGAATGTACCTATATTCCTTAAATTGTTGGCTACCCCTGCTCGCAGCTGTTAGCCGCGCAGCTGCTTGCGACCGTTACGCGCGGTGAGCACGTGCCGTCGCCCCTCGCACATCATTATTATTACTACTCAAACTATTCGAAAAGTTGAATAAAAGCACTTATATTATAAATACAGTCACCTGGCAACTTATTTCGATAAAATTTGGGAACCAAAACTCGAAAATTAAAATCTTATCTACTGCAATGCTTGATTAATAGAGATGTTAATAAAAACTCTTCTGTACTCTGTATATTTAACTAATTTATAATTTGATGTGGTTTTTAGTCTACTAATAACAGTCTTAAGAAATATGTCAGTCGTTGTAAGCCCTTAAAAACAGTCTTCCCCACCCCTCTATTATTTACAAAAGTAATAGTAGACTTAATCGCTTTAAAGCCTTTTCCGCGAGTCAAGATGCTAGGTACCTAACTTTTATAATTTACTAGTGGTCGCGTGGTGGTTGAGTCGATCGTAATTTATAAAAAAATTAGTTTTCATTTGAAAACAAACTGCATTTCACTTTCATCTCTCATTTAATAAATAATGTCTTACTCTTATCTATGCTTTTTTATAATTGTTAAGGTATAAATTTGTGTAAGTACGTCATTCTGTTAAAGTAAGTTTTATATTAATATGCATTGGAAAACATACATCTTATTTTAAAAGAAAAGGAAAAGAATCCATCAAAGCCCGTATGCTTCATCTGGTCATTAATTCGTCTAATGGGAAAATTTATATTCCTAACATAAAATGTCTTCAATAATTTTCCATTCTATAATGTTAATTATTTTAAGACTTTTCATAATTTGGTGGATGCACAAATTCGCCCCTTTCCGTTGGTCAGAATTAGACCCAGTTATTACGCAAGCTTTTTCTTGTTTACCACTATTTACGACAACGCAATATGTACTTTACTGTACATAATAAATGTAACTATTTAATAATTCTAGTTCAATGAGCTTACGTCCATTTGTCGAATAGCAAATATGGAGGAAAACGGTTATTGATTGCAAACACAGTTTAATTACTTATGTATTTAGGTTTAAAATATATTTCATTTAACGGAACGGCTTTGAAAGTTGTAATGCGAAGGGCGCGTGCGCGCCTGTTTATCGAGGGGTTGTTGCGTATGCGCCATTTCCGAAGCCCTTTTTTTATTTGGAATCCCCTACGTCAGTTGACGGTTGATCGTGGAACGGTTAAGACGAAGTGTATATTATAGTTCAGTTACAATAATAATAGCACAGTATACCATTTTAATAATAAACCTAAGTGCATTGTTATGTAAGTTAATCTATATTAAGTGAGTGAAAACATTACTTAGATAATTAAGTTGAAAAACTGCATTAGTGTAGTGGGCACGGACCTGCAAAAATCCTTGATAGAGGGCTGATTATACCCTATTTTATTTAAATTCATTTAGTTTTGTGTATAATCATAATGCAGCGCAAAAGACCGAAACGGTTACGCTCAAAGAGTCACCCTTAAGAAAAGTAACGCTTTAACAGTCGTAAGTGTATTACGTTCAACTCATAACGCTGGGGAAAGAATACGCTTATTAAAATGGATTCGCCAAAAATCGTTTACAAATATTATTCAAATCCCGCTTTTTGTGCTCAAAGCGAGGTGGTATTTGCGCAAAAATCATGTGTCACGAAGATCGTCTCCCCGAATAGAAGAATGCCTCCGTTAGGAGGCAATTCTCCAAGAAAAAACGAAATCGACAACCGAATAGTCAGAACCGATATATCTGATAATCCTCTACGGTTGACGCCTGGCGCAAGAATGAGGGAAGAGCCTCCAGAATTGCCTCCAAAACCACCAAAGTACCAAAGGCAGTTTCAAAGACAAGCGTCCTTAATCTGCAAGCCAACTAGACAAATCGTACGGTGTAGAACACGCAGCGAGGATTTAGAAATGGCGCAGTTAAGACAAAGACAGACGACAAAATATGAAAGAAACGCTGATAGCGATGACGGTCTAGAAGATAATAGACTGAAGCATAGATATGAAGTTATCCGAGACTTTGATGATCTCACAGACTATTCACCGACGAAGAAGAGAATAGTTGAAGCTGACGCCAGTGAAATAGAAGAGTATAATGTAGATGGACCAGACGAAAACGAATTGAAAGAAATACCAACGGAAATAGTAAAAACGGTAAACGGAAAGACACATAGATACGCGATAGTACCCTCCGATGATGAGGAGCCGAGGAAAATGAACGTAACATTCTCATCTCCAATTATGTCGCAGAAGAACCTGATAGCGACTCAAAAACTCCATGAGTTGCTATCGACGCCCAGGAAATTAAAAAGTTATGCGAGCCAACCATCAGTGAGAATGACACCGAACAAACAGACAAGTCCAAACGTGTATGTAGATACTCCGAGGAAGTTTATCGCAAGCACACCAACAAAAGGGGTTACTCCTTCTAAATCTTGTGCTAATTTAACGCTGATGAGAAGTGGAACCTCCCCAATCTCACCAAAAGCGCAGCAGAAGTTGAATTACGGTTTGCCCGAAGAGTTGGAAAGGCAAGACGTATTTGTGACAAGTATAAGAGATAAAAGTCGCGATAGGAGTTTTGATATGGACAGGAGAGAAGTGAGCCGAGACAGCAGAATAAAATACGATGCTAAAGGAAGAGATAGTCAAAGGAGAGACAAGAACACAGCAATCATTATGCCCAGGTACGTGAACTTATGAGAAGTTTTTTTTTTATTTGAGCTTCTTAAAGAATAAAATAATTTTACGGACTTTATCGCGTTTAATTTAGGTACTTGTTTAACATAACTTTAATGCCCGACGTTTCGCCGGACTAACTATGACATATAAGATATAAGTTAGGTAAACAAACAAATGCGATCAAATCCGTAAAACCTGTTTCTTTCAATGTCAAGTGTTCCCGTAAATATAAGAATTTATACATTTTGTGAATAAACAGCTTACAGTAGACTGTCAACAAAAGATACGGAAAATGAACTTGGCAGTGCAACACTGCAGCTATATTATGGCTGCAGTAACAATGGGTCGGCTTAACCGAAGTACCATGCTCTCACACGATACCACAGTGAAATAGTGTCGAGTTGTATTTATACGTGGTAGCGCCACGCTGCAGCTATACCATGGTTGTAGCACGAATGAGTCGGCTAGACCCGGGAAGGACCACGCTCTCACAGAATACCAGCGTTAAATAGCAGCTTAATACGGCTGTGTTTCGTATGGTGAGTATAGAGACACAGAGACTTTTTTTTACTGGAAACTCATCCGCATTTTGATTTTTATTCGAGGATAAATGTTATGTCTATGGGCCACAGCATCAACTTACTATCAGGTGGATTGTGTACTCATTTGTCACCCTTATTCTATAAAAAGATTAAAGTTTTAACCGATTTATAGAAAGCAAGAGAATTTCACCGCTGTTTATATTGCACACATCGAACGCGAAGCAATGATGTCACCAAATTTAAAATCGCGTTCCACTCAAATTAAATCAATTCCACTACCTATATATTGCACTCGTATAATTAAAAAATGCACCAATAGCAAGAGGAGATTTCAGTTAATATTTCTGACGTAGTTATAAGATTATTTATTTCGATTAGTATAGAAAAAAAGTTAATTGAAAATAATTTCACTTGAGCGTCAGTTGACCGGTATGGATGTGAACAAGATATCTTTTTTTTTATTAGCTATAGATTGTAATTCTTAGAAAGCCTTTTGTATTTCACTATTGTATTTTTTTTTTCATTAATATTTTTGACAATGTTTTTTCGGTAATAAAATACGAGTCACCGGTATTAAGCAGTCAAAAAAAATTTCGTGTTAATTAAACAGACACATTAAATACGTGTTTCAGTAATTAATAAAAGTAAATTGATTATTCAAAACATTACGTGAGCGCTCGAGGTGTGCACTTTGTGGATTTTTTTTTGTATTTTCGGCATATCTTCTTTGTTTATGAATCGATTTTAATGATTTTTATTTAAAATGTTAAATTTGAAGCATGGTCCCATATAAATTTAAAAAAATCACTCCTAATGATAGAAAAACAGGAGATAAAGTTTTTATTTTAACTATAACATTGAGAATTGACCTAAAATAAATTTAAACAAAAGCAGAAATCTTTCACAGGTCTCCCATATAGCTTATCTCATATTTGCCATAGTTGCCACGCGCTAGCAAGCGGCTTGGTAATTGCAGTTATTTTATTATTATGAGTAGTTATCAGGAAGACCCTGATGCACATCACTTGTTTCGTTTCCCTGTGTCGCATCTTACGACACAGTGCGTACTAGCTCTTAGTGATAGTGCATCAGTGAGACAAAGTGTTCGTAGTCCACTTTTTTGCTTTTTTAGTTGTTAAAATAATTTTATACGTGGTAGAGCCACGCAGCAGCTATATTATTGTTGTAGCACGAATGGGTCGTCTCGACCGGGGAAGGACCATGCTATCACAGAACATCAGCGTAAAATAGCAGCTTTATGCTGCCGTGTTTTGTAGGGCGAGCGTAGAGAACCGGAGACTCTTTTTTATGTAAACGAGGCATTCCATCCACAGGGGGTGACAACGTATTCTGCATTTTGAGTCTTCATCGACGACAGATGTAGATGTCTATGGGCCACAGCATCCACTTATCTTTGGTTGGACTATGTGCTAGTTTGTCACTTTTCCTTATTTTCCCGTGTAAAAAGTATTAAAAGGTTCTGATAAGGAATAGCTTTCTATGTGCATACAAAGAAGTTTACCAGGTTGAGCATGATTGAACAACAATATTTGTCGCGTGGTGGTGGGGTAAGAGCACCCATCACCCCATTTCGTTCCGTTGGTGTCGGAATGAGCAGTTCTTGGAAATACTAACTGGAAACTACATTCATCTCAGTCCTCAAGGGTGAAACTATCTGCATTTCCAATTTAAAATCCACAAACTTACCATCAGGTGGATTGGTGCTCGTTACCATTCTATAAAAAAGGTATACGAGGCCTTACTAAAGTATCTTCCTTATATCAGTGACCACTACGATTACGAAAAAATCAAATAACCACCTACTTTAAAATATGACAAAAAAGTGACGAATGTTCTTAAGAGTATTTATACTTATGCAAACTTATATATTGGCATAATATACTATAGTACACAATAGAATGGCTGTCAACCTTATTTTGTACGAGGATAGGCGTCGCCGGGAGCACACATACAAGCAATTACGTAGTATTATCACTACTACAAACCCGATTCGCTGTGTTGACAGACAGATTTTAATACGTATTTATTTGTAAATAGCGTGCAATTTGACATTTTCTAAGTAATTTGCATGCGAAATTTGAAACGATTGTAACGTGAAAATACATCTCGTGTTGACATTTATACGTGTGAATTGACGTGTTAGTGACATTTTAGTGGCTACACGGGCTCCGCCCACTCACCCGTTCTATTATGTATGTAATTATAGTATTCTATGTATATTGGGGTATAAATCATACAGTTATTTAGTTTTAGAAAATACGAGTAAATATTGGCTTCTACTTTTATTTGAAATTTTCCCAAATTGAATCTTATTAATGGGCAACAACGTTTTTGCCTGCCGATCGACCCTTACGAATGTGTGCGTGCGCTGTAAAATCAGTTATAATCATAATGCATTACCAAGCATTTCGACTTTAAAAGATAAAAAAGGACAGAATGTTTTAGATTTTTTTATTATAATTTTTATTACCATTTGCCTATGTTACTTATTCTGAACCTTCTCTGCAAATTTGGCCCGTTATTGCAAAATTACCCTATGTAGCAAATAATAGCTTATGGAACAATATATTTAATATCAATCCACTTAATATTATGGTTAAAAAGCGTTTTACATAAAATTTGTGACATACGCTGCAAAAATGATAACCTATATTTTAATTTAACTTAAAATAAACTAAAAAAGTTACGATGCTATGATAACCTTCCCCACACAAAAATAGGTATTATGGTATTTATTACAAACAGGATTTTCGGCTAGAGCTAAAGGATGAAAAAGATTGATGATATTTCTTTTGATTGGTATGTAATATTTTGATAAGAAAACTAATTTGGGCCGATTGAAAAATTTGTAACTAATTGCTGCTATGTTAACTCATAATATTAAATGCTACAGTTGCGCGTGCGCCCGCTGCACTTGCACCTGTGGCCTGCGAGCATGGGGTCAAAACGACAAACAATTATGTCGCGAGGTTGTTATAAACAGCTCAACTCAGTCTATCGTTAACACCTTACCTTTTATATGTTATTTTTACATTCTTCGCCTACATCGTGTTTTATATCACGTTTAATGCTTTTTTGAAAAATATTACCATGACGGGTACCGTCCCGACGACACCCTAGCCAAATACGGCATCCAACTTTGTTTAGGGGTGAAAAAGTTATAAGTACCTATTAAAGATCTTGCCACCTTACCACATTGCCACCGTAACGGCAATGGCAACGTCACGGTGGCAATGTGGTAAGGTCGCAAGGGGGTAAGAAACTACAACTGGGAAGAGTTTCTTTCCTACAGTTTACGTTCATACTGCCAATGTCAAACACATAATAGTCTGTGATCAAACAGTCGCACAAAGTATTAGATATTGTAGCCAAAAAATTTTAAGATGTTACCAAAATCTTAATGACTAGGTACTTAATTATGTGTGATTTCAAATTTTCCTTTTTCATTGTTCAGTGTATGTCATGGGAAAAAGCGTTTATTTTATATTTTGTTTAAAATGAGCTACCCGTGTTTTATGTGCAATACAGTTTGCTTAAAATATATTCTTAAATAATTAATTAATTCCGGTCAAATTAAGTCCGAAGAATAGACGACAACTAGTAATTTATTAATTTTGTTATAATAATTTTTCAGAGTAGCTCCACTAAGTCCGTCCGTATACTCCGAAGAAACGTACAAATCCCTATCAAGCCTGAAGACTGTGAACAGTTCGTTAGCTTCGTTGACCATTGCTGCTCTAATGCTGACGTTATGTGGCGGCTTGACAACAGGGCTAAGCTTTTATATGATGTATAGCGTAAGTATTTATTCATTCATATGTTGACACTAGCTGTGCCCCGCGGCTTCACCCGCGTATTATATGCGTCTGAGCCGCGCAACATGACATGACACCTATTTCAAACATTTTAAATAGCAATGTGGGATGGAAAGATTGGCAAAATTAATGGAGTCCTTTTTATCTATCAGCTTATGTACGTTATCCTACCTCCCCACCCTGAGTGAACGTCAAACCCCGGGCCTCAGTAAGTGTCTCGAAGCGCAGTTTTTTTTTTCAGTTTAAAAGAACACCGCACACAATATATGAAAAATTTATCGGTACAAAATGATTCTTGATAAATTTGCTATCAACCTTTAATACATATTAAAACAAAAGATATGACTTATAGTTAACGTGCAATCTGCCACGAATGAAAAAAAATGTATGTATCAACCCAGAGCTCAACCCAAATTAGTTCAATGTTTGCCAAAACACATCCCTGTCCACTCTGTGATAAGCTTTTTCCAAGTCCATAACACACAAAAAACTTTTTGGCATTTGACCAAAAACTTCACCGCTATCACGCACATAGAAAAGACTTGATCCTTACACCCCATTTCTTTTCTCAATCCAGCTTGCACATCTCAAATTTTTTCATCAGTTTCTTTCATAACTCTTTCAATTAATACCTTAGCATACA